TTAATTTCGAATCATCTGCAGAGGCGGTGGAATACTATGCGTGGACGAATTATGTTGATAGTGTAAATGGCTCGGGAATCTATTCAAATTTTAAACTTGATAAATCCAAATACTTTCAAACCTTGAATATGTGAGTTTACAGATTTGCTTCTTTAAGTTTCGAATGATTTTCATGTTTGGTTTTTTTTTAAAAAAAAATGTATATATACATATATATATTTCCTGAACGTTAGTTCTTATGGTGGACAAGTTCATGGACAGATAAAAATATGGTACTATGTCGTAATAATAATAACAGTCGTGGGGACCAGTTAAGTATCGAAGGAATCCACATGCCATCAGTTAGATAGTGTGAAGGTGCGCTAACCTGTAAATTTGAATCCTCCTCAGCTTTTTATTTGAGTAGTTTTCAGCGAGTGTGGGATTACGGAATAAGGCTCTTGCTTATCGAGATGTATGTATTATTTTTTTTTTCTTTTTGTCGAAATGGAATTAACCTGATTCTGAATTGGTGATCACGCTAACACTTCCTCAATCCGTCGTGCCGTCTGACAAATAGATTTTCCTTCACTCTCTGGGTATCAGCAAGTAAGTGAATAAATAAATCAATTAATTATTGGATCCAATCTTGACGAACCTCCTCTGATTCCTTATAAATTTCACAACAAGGTGTCACCAACCTAGACCCATGGTATTCAGGCCCAGGGTTTCAATGCGATAGATTCCCAGATGAAGCATTGCTACTATGCCGGGTGGCAGTATCAAGCATAGCGATCAGTTGGTTTAATGTGCTTTTGAGCTTGGTATCGTTATTGATGGCATGGAAAAGATCAATCGAGTTGGCTCCCATAAGAGCTAACAGTCGAGGACCTAGCGGTCTCGATTCTGGTCCGAACCAAAGGGTTAGCGTTGGAAAAAATCTGCAATCTACTACCAATCAAGTCCCATATTTTTAAATGTACAAGTATGGTTTATGTATTTTTGAATGTACAAATATAGTTTATGTATTTTATTTTATTTTTTCAAAAAAAAAAAGACAACAAAACCAGTGTATACTTACAGTATTTTTGGAGAACTGTATCGAATGACAAATATTTCTTTTGCGCAACTGTTTAACAATGTTTGATGCAAAATTTCGAATTAAATACTAAATGTAGGTAAACCACGACGCATGTGTGTGAGCATTGCATTATCATAACGAGGTGCCTGATAAAGAATTTTGATTATTTCATTGTTATCAAAATGAATGTGCGCAAGAAAAACAATCTTTTTTTTTTTTTTTTTTTCACGCGTCTTCCCGCAAATTCCCTCGCACGAAATCTTTTATTTCACAAATTATACAGATGTATGTGATTCACACGAGCATTTCGCTTGTATGAACTATTTTTTTTTCAATGGTCGATGACCACGTGAAAACCCGCCAGGGTCTAACAGTTTATCCAATGTTCCCAACACAATCTAAGTATCACAACCCCACAAATAAAGTACAGAATCCAACTCATCATTATGAACCAACTTTTCAGTACCCAAAATATCATGGTCAAATAAAAAACCGCGAAAATCAATCTCAACCCAAATGAGTAGATGGATGTGAAAATGGTGTGTAATGCAGTGAAATTAGTGTCATCAACATTAATATTAAATACAGATGAAGTGAGTCCGTCTAATGTTTGTATGATGGATGCAAAATATTTATTGTCGTCCGGTATTGAGAATGTGCCTAGGAGTGTGGTGAAAACCGAGAGTATGAAAAAGAATAAAGCTGAAATGTCAAAACCGTTGCTTTCATCGCTGTCTAATACATTGTTGGCGGTGGCATTGTTGATGGTTGTCAAAACTCTTGGTGATGATGATGATGATGATGATGATGATGATGATGATGATGATGATGATAATGATGATGATGGTAGTGGTGGTGGTGATGATGATGATGATGATGATGCAGTGTTGAGTGTGGTTTGTTCGGTGGATTGCGAATTCGTCGTGATTCTTGTGGCACGCGATGGCGATTCGACCATCGGAATCAGAGAATGGTGCATTAGATAATGTTCCCGAAATTCGATTAGGTCGTAGAATGTTACATTGCATTCTATGCACGAAGGATGACCTCGAAAGTTAAAATCTTTGGCATCCCCACTACGATAATGTCTCTTCAATTCCTCCTTGGTATACAATATATGCTCCCAGGTAAATATCTTACGATGTGCTATGCATCGTCCGCTGCAGAAAGTGCACAAAGCGGATGGTAAGCGTCAGAACACGAAAGAAACGACAAGAAGGTCGGAAGGTAACTCACCAGAACATTAATTTATGATCGTTTCGTACATGTTGAATTAGTTCCGGCCACCCACCATATGCTGCCCGACAGGATTTCATCGGACACCTAAACTTTATCATCTCTGTTGTCATGTGATGTATCTGTTGATCCTCGCACAATATTTGATGATCTGGTACGAGATACCACACCGATATCGACGACATTAACACCGAGAAAGGTGTCGTAGAATCGTGAGTAAAGATCACTTTGTGTTGCTTGGCCTATAATAATTGTCCATAGTTATTAGCATTTAAAAGAATGATTGACAATCATACCCGCCTCAACGAGCACAATGAACATTTATTTACTCACTCGGCAAAAAGGACAAGAGTTGGTCCCTAACAAAATCCTTGATCTAAGAGCGCAGACATAACATATTCGATGATTACATTGTGCGACGGCGTATACACTAGTTGATTCCGTGCATATGGAACAAGCGTTTGCATTGCTTTCTTCGCAATTATTTTCTTTACATATTTCTGGTGTTGCATGCCTGTTTGATATCGGTGAGATGTCACATTTGGCGGTGGGGGTGGACGGTTCCGTCAAAGATGCATTTTTCTTAAATTTATTGAAATTTGTGATGTGAGTCGTCGACTCGCCAGATGGTTGCAATAGTTCCGTCTCTTCCTCGTGCATTAGGGACTCGTTAGCTGTTGCGAAAGAAATACTGCTACACATTTTTACATAAAAAATCTTTTTCGGTCGATGATTTTTTTTTTAGAATTCCGAGACGTTTTTTTTTTTTTTCCTGTTTCCTAAAAAAAGGGGGGAATTTTGCTAACAAGAATTCAATATACAAGAGTATTGAATGTGAAAAATGGATTTATATACAATATATATATGTTTATTTATATAGACATGAAAAATCTTGTTTTTTGTTTTTATTATTATTATTATTATTTTGGTGAATGTTTATGAAAAAAAAAAAAAAAAATTGGGTCAATGAAGGTCGAATGTCCTTTTATCTCTTGGATTGACGGGAGGATCACTGGACGCGCCCGTTTTTGTGAGAATAAAGTAAGTGCCACTGTGTACCTAAATATTGGCCTTTTTCTCTTTTCTATTTTTCCGCCTTCCTAATAAAAAAAAAGTAGTCTAACACGTGAAAATCTTTCGCCTAGAAAAAGTGTCAGAATATAATTGGCGCGGATTGCTTCTGGTCCTCAACAGGTTTAGCCACCTGCTTTTCCTCTTTTCCTTTAGTAGTGTCGTACGTACCTTATTTGTTCAGAGATTTTCGACCTGTGTCTGGGACCTTTTGACCTTTGCTGGATAATAATTGTTTTCTCTGAAATTACTTGTGATTTCCATGCAAACTTTGCAGGAATCATTATTCCTCTCAAAAAGTTTTCAAAATCGATTATTATTACCATTATGAAAAACAGCATTTGACAATTATCGGATGCAAGTGAAGAAGAAAAAAAAAAAAAATTTTTTTTTTTTTCTTCTTTCTTTTTTATGTACTGTGGATGAGGTGAGGAATATTTACATGCATAACAAGAGAAAAGAAGGAAGAATAGTCGGTTTGTTTTGTCAATCCTATAAACTCTTATGCACTCGAATGATTTGAGAACATTTTGTCAATCGATTTAATTTTTTTTTAAAAAAAAAAACAAATTCCAGAACCTTAACATTTCAAGCATATTCTGTTCTCTTTAAATGATCACTTCATTTCCACTTTTTTGGGTTATGTGATCTTCGATGAGAACGCCTCTTGATTTTTTAATTTGCATACTTGTGGTGCAACAGTTTTATTATTTATTTATCGATGTGCCAAGGTATGACACTATTGACACACTCCTTTGATGTGAAACGGTGAAACCTGTGTATTAGCCCTTTGCCATGACGTACCACTCGTTTTTGGTTGGTCACACGGGCTCCGTGGCAGGAAGTAGTCATCACGTCTGCAGCAATGAATTCCTTAGCCATTATCAAACAAACTGCATTTCCCGAAAATTTTCTATTATATCCCATTCGGGAAAATATGCAATGGACGTACACTGTAAGTATCATCGTCCACCTATTCTAACGCAAAAGTGAATTAATGCAATGTCTGTCGATTTCATGTATCCAGGTTGGGTCTACATTTACATCCGTGCTTTAACGATTAATATGTATATCATTACGTATGCGCTTATCCTCAGTACATACACTGGCATAGCCCTTGGAGTAAAAATAGCTTTCATTCACATGATCCAACGGAAAATTCTTTGCTCGGGTCAAAAAGGTGAGCGACTCGTAATGGTAATTGCGTCATATCGGTATGTAAGCACGCATGTTCCTGCATTTCTGCTCCCCGAATTGATGACGAGGTAATATCAGCGTGATAACGCATCACTAGTTCGGACCTGATCTTATAATGGTTCTTCGAAATTTGGCATAATTAAGAGACCAAATATGTTCCTATGATGTACAGTTTTGTTTATTTTTGAATTGCCCGCATAGATTTCCCCAATTCTCAAAGTGACAAAACCACCCATCCGACCATTGTTCAATTCAGAATGCTCAAAAGGAAATCTCGGTCGATTGAAAATTAAAAAAAGAATGAAGTCACCGCTCGACATTTAATTTGATCCAATCAGAATCGAACACCTAAACGATCAACAATGACTGCAAATCCCAAGAGGATTCATAAACAAAAAAAAAATTTTTTTGTAAACAATTGTTCTCATCAACACAGAACAATGCACAATACCCGGTTCATTGTTTTTTTTTTTCCTGCCCCAAAGTCTTGAGTAAAACAGATATTAAAAGATTATCATCGTCAGCCTGTAGATAGACAAGCGGATTAACTGCCGATTCCCGGTTTTAGGCAACGTGTCTTGCAACGAGGTTTCTAATATGTAGAAAAAAAAAATTTAAATACAAAAAGAAACTGATCTAGAGATCATTTCCCCAACATATGTGTTATTTATGAGGGCACAGTTTTTCCTGCATATGATTCTTATGAGTTGTACTGTAAGTAGGATAAAGGTGGAATCCACCTCTCCAAGTTTAATAATAGGTGATCTTTCGATGTCAAGGTTTGTTTGGTTACATGTAATGAAGCCGATTGATCATTTTATGAATCAAAAAATTTTTTCTCTTAATTAAAAGTGTGTTGTCATTATTCGTGGAAGATGTTTAATCTGCACCTGATACCCCTTGTCAGTAGTAATGTCGATTATTTCTCGCAGGGGAGAAAAGCTCTTTCTCCGAGAATAACTACTGATTGAGCTTCTAAAATCACCAATGATTACACCTGTCTTTGTTTGACCCGTTATTACGCACCTTAATGACCGAAATACATCTCTCATGAGAGAGGGAAATGCATATGTCGCACTTTAATAAAAAGGTTTTACACGAAATGCGTTCGGTGATTTTGCATAAGCGGTCAATTTCAATCATTCATTTCTTCAATTTATTTGTTTAAAACGTGTGAATCGCGCGGATCGTTATTTATATTCTTTGCTAAATTATGTAAAAGTGATGATTCCCTTTTAACGCATCACATTCACCAAGCTCCTTGCATATTATCCCGTTGTCTACGTGGTTCTGAATTGACCATGGACCGAGGCGAGATCCTTGCTGCAGGTAGCACCTCAGCTAATTCACCTGATCTTTGCAATTTACCCTTACCCTCCTCTCCTTCGTTGTCGCTCCTGAAAAGTTCAATTAAACTTGGAACTCATTCATCTCATTTGAACAACAACAATCACCAAATTCTAATGACAAACTTACGCCGCCCGCGATCCTCAGATACTTTCGGTGAAGCTGTCTTTCTCGAGAGTCGTACTCATTCCCTGACGACCTCTTCAATCTCATCGTTGACGATGAACCAATCATCGAATATCTCCATACTACCATTACCAGAAAAAGACATTGGACAACAAGAACAGCGGGAAGAACGATACGAAAGAGAATTTATCAAGTTTGTTGGTGGAAATTATGAAGGACCCAGTGGTTGGCATGATTCCAACGATCATCACATTGCGAATGACTTCAGAAATAGTGAAATCATAATTTACTCGCACTTGGATCCCGCGCAAGACTTTTACGTTAATGCAGAAAAAAGAAACAGAACCTCCCAACATTCTCACTCCAATTCTTACACCTCTGATAATCTCTATCACGATTCTCCTGAATTGGGTGTGGCATTGTCGAGTAGCGGGTCTAGAAATTTGACCAGGGTCGATTCTCTGACTTTACCTGCGTCCAATTTGATCCCACCCCTGTTCGTGAATTCGATGAGAAATAAAATTAATTTCGGTGATGGTCCGAATAGCATGACTAGCGATTTGTCAAGCGTAATTAGCCATAATAATACTAATATTAATAATGATAATCCCAATATCAACGTCAACGATAATAACAGCGAAGATGAGATTCAAGAATCCAATGTGAGCATTTCACTTCCGACCTCCCGGAAATATTCGCCGACTAATTTCTACAATGGCGATAATTCCATTATTTCAAATGAACCTTCCTCCAAAAATTCCCTAGAGAGTAATGTGTTAACTAACAAATCATCAAAAGTCAAAGTTATCATTAATACGAAGAAAGCCCCCGTGATTGGCCTATTAATAGTCTTCTCGATGATGGGAGCCCTCATCAGATTAGCGCTGGTCTCATTGGAAACATACGATGGACAACAGGTATTCGCCGAGACTTACCCGCAGATCGTTGGATGTTGTATCATGGGATTTATAAATGCTCGCCAGGTTCAACTGGTTGAAACGTGAGTGCTACTCGTTTAATATCTATTGTGTTATCATTACGGATTTCTATAATCTTTACTACTGTATAATTACCTTGCCTAATTAATTCTATTAAATAAAAAAGATATTTCCCAATGACGTTCGCCTTAGGCACGGGTCTCTGCGGTTCCATAACATCTTTCAGCGACTTTACGCTAGTCATATTTGAAACCATCATTGGATATTCGAATGCTGATTCTATAAGGTCCAAGGTTCTGACCACGCTGTCACACATCGTATTGACGACCGGGATGTCATTTATTGCCTTCGAATTCGGTGAACATCTTGCGAACATTCTTTGGCCCTTACCATCCCTTTCATCGGCAAACTCACCCGCTTCACTTGTCTCACCGTCATGCCCAGCGCACTCCTCCAGAAGATTTACTCTCACCTCTATCTCTCGTTTTCATTCTGATTCCTTCAAACCCTTTCGCGTTGACACCAACATCGCTCAATTTGACCCACCCAACAGACGTTATGTGATCACTTCAAATTCGTGGTCGTTTCGTAATCTCACGCTAATCGATTACACATTCTTCATCTTCGGTCTGTCGCTATATGTTTTCGTCCTCTTTTCTATAATCTATTCTTACTTCTCTCAGATATTTGTGAGCACCCGAGAACTTTCCATAACGCTGGCCCTCGCACCACTAGGAACATTCTTGAGATTAGCAATGTCATCGATGTTAAATTCACAAAAAAAAAGTTTTCCGATGGGAACATTTGCGGCAAACATGTTAGGATGCATTGTAGTTGGTATAATTATATTTTTGCGTGGGACTACAGGGAGTGACGATGAGGCCGTAAGAAGTGGAAGTGAAATAATTCGTAAGAGTATATTGCGCGTAGGAAACAAAGTTAGCTTGACCAATAATAATATCAGAACGAGTATAATGGGCAGGTTAAATATGAAGACGCATGAGATAAGGTTTGGTAGCGGTATAACGGAAGTTTGGAACATTCCCGAAGCAGGAAACGTCGAAACCTGGTGTCAGGTGATTGATGGAGTTGTAAATGGGTTTTGCGGTAGGTCTTCTCAATTTTCTCCTCACTCGAGATGTATATATATTTTTTTTTTATCGCCCTATCTTTCGCTCAATTTTAGGTTGTCTAACTACCGGCTCAGCAATCATTTATGAATTACGCGTATCGCGCAAATCCTATGTATACGGGCTTGTTACCCTAATTTGCGGGACGGCAGCGATGACTCTAATGTGGAAGGTGATGACTGTAATTATGTTTGATGGCGAAGGAATGCTGAATTGTTAATTTAGGGCATCAGAATGGGATAGTTGGAGCTGCAGATGTATTGCATTTCTGGAAAATTGCAAAAATTTCATCTTGCAATAAAAACATACCAATATTCGTGTGTGATAGATTATCCAGTTTAACGACTGCCATAAATGCTTTCAAAAAAAATAATAAAC